AAAAATACCTCCTCCTCCCAACGCTCTAGAATTTCCAAGAGTATTAGGTAAACCCCCCTTACCTTCTGGAAAAATTCACTCGTGCAAGAAAGTGTGTTAAAGTTCAAGTAATCATCCAAACACTAGGCCATCTGCGTTGTACATCACTGCTGTTTATTTCCGATCAATCGTAACATCTGAAGATACGCACTAAGAAATAATACAACAATTTATTTAAATATGCTTCACGAGTGAAATATAGATAAAAAGGTAACTTGTCCAATTACCTTCCTGTATCATTATGTTCCTTTGTAAATGTGGTACAATTTCTGTTGAAAGACCAATAAACTGAGTCTGGATAAAATTGACATCATACTTGTCGTGAACGAATCGCTAATACATTTGCGAAGAAAGCCAATTTTTACAGCAAAATTACATACAAATGGACAGATAACAAAAGTCGCTGAAATCATGACAGCATGTTCTTTGCAGTTGTTAGCTTGCAAAGTTACTTTGAATGTCCAACTTACAAGCTCAAATTTTCTTGGTGGAAAAACTTGGTGCACTCAGCGAGCGCTGCGATCTTTACATTGCACGAACTTTACATCGCAAAATTCCCAAATCATGCTTAAACTGTACGTACACTGTACCTTCAAAAAATCGTGCCAAAACTGTGCTTGGTCTGTGCCTAATTTGAAGCAGAAGTGTTCATTTTTCCTGTGCTTCCCAAACAAGTACTCTTCAGAAATCGCCCTATAATGCATTGCGTGCATGGGGATGTGCTCTTAGCACGTCATTTTTTTTCTTAGCGCTTTATGTATGTACCCAAGAGTCAACTCAAACTGTCAGGACTATCATAAATCCAGGCTTGCTTGAATAACATGTAAAGAATAAGTGAGAGATCAATGCAGTCATCTAGTAGCTAGATAAAATCATCTAGTCATGTAGTTACTTATCATAAATGATAAGTATTAAATCAAATTTAAATGCAGTTTTGGACGATTCTTGTGGAATGTCTTTATGATAATTATGCTAATCAATTATGCTAATTAATGTCCAGACAAATTGACAAGATGTCTGACCAAAATGAAGAATTTTGAAAGGAGACAGGTCCTCTTAAAGAAGAAAAATTATTTCCAGCACTACAGTCTGTGTGATTCTAATGCCAGCATCTTGGTTGGTTGGGGGAATGACTTAAGTGTGTTACTAAAAGAAACTAATGGAAACTGTGTACTGCAACTCAGGGATTTTAAATTGAAACGAAGGAGCAGAAGGAAACCATAAAGTAGGCAGAGCTCTATTGGGTCATGATAAATGAGACTGTGTGAGGAAGAGTGCTGTGGTGGGTTGTCCCCACCTGCATGGGGGATGGGTTGTCGTCCCTGGAAAATTTTGACAATACGGGTACAGTGAGGTGCATTGTAGTGCATTTTTAGCACCCAAAGGTGATTTTGTTGGAGGCCATGCCACCTTGCACGTTATTTTAACAAGAGTTCAGAAAAGGCAGCATTGTCTGTTGCCTCCACTTCATCATAGAAAATGTGTGCGTTCAGACAAACCTGATATAGGTATGTTTAATGATGGCAGAATGCCTCCCAAAAATTGCTGTTGCTTTGAAGTTCCAAAGGTTCAAAGAATAGACACACTGCCAACTTTTTTACCTGTTCAGTTGTTTCCTCAGAAGGATCAGATCATGATTACCTTGGTGAAACAAAACAGCATATTAATAAACTTTGAGACGAACAAAATAACCACCACAAATGCTTGAAATAGCCGGTGACTTGCACCAGGTGCTGGCTTATTTTGAAAACCCTGCTTCTTGGGCTTGGACTGTTTAGTTTTTCGGCTGCATAGCATTCAGCTGATTCATGCATAGTGAAGCATTTTGTCTGAAGTGCTGAAACTGCTGAATTAGATGTTAGAAGCAGTATAGCTAAATAGTTATTGAATTAAAAGTTAAGTGTTTGATTTATTTTGCAGATTGTGGGTTACGACATGACAGCTATTAGGAAAAAGCTGGTTATCGTGGGTGATGGTGCCTGTGGAAAAACATGCCTTCTCATCGTGTTCTCCAAAGATCAGTTTCCTGAAGTTTATGTGCCCACAGTTTTTGAGAATTATGTGGCCGACATAGAAGTCGAAGGCAAGACGGTAGAGCTAGCATTATGGGATACAGCAGGACAAGAAGATTATGACAGGCTACGACCTCTCTCCTATCCCGACACTGATGTTATTCTGATGTGCTTCTCCATTGATAGTCCTGACAGTTTAGAGAACATCCCTGAAAAATGGACTCCGGAAGTTAAGCATTTCTGCCCAAATGTACCGATCATTTTGGTTGGTAACAAGAAAGATCTGAGAAATGATGAAAACACAAAGAGAGAGTTAATAAAGATGAAGCAAGAGCCTGTTAAGTTTGAAGAAGCCAAGTCAATTTGTGAAAAGATCAATGGCTATGATTATTTGGAATGCTCTGCTAAAACAAAGGAAGGCGTAAGAGATGTATTTAAAACAGCCACAACAGCTGCACTTCAGACCAAGAAACGGAAAAAGAAGAAGGGATGCAGTATATTGTAAAATGGTTGAACTTGTTCTGCAGAACTTTGCTTTAAATAATGTGATATGCTAGAGCTCACTAACTTACATGGAAGGAACTTCTCCCACTCTGTTTGGGGTGGGCCAATCCGATGTAAAAGAGAACTTCTTTCTGAAACAGAAAGGAGATGTCCGTAGTAATCATTTATTAATTTGAATTATTAGTATTGTTACATAACCATGCACTGGTCTACCTGTATGGCATATTCTGATGGTGAGATTGCATATCATTGTATTTCTATTCGCTGTGAGGCAGCAGGTTTCATTGTAAGTTAGGATACATAGCCAGGTGTGGTGATGCAATGATGTTTATTAATTGACAAGTGTATAAAAAAAACTTGCCTTTCTCTTTAAAGTGAATTAATGTTATTGGCCCTTCTGTGTTTTTGGCCAATAGGCTTTTTGCATGATGTGATCTCTCGGGACGAAATCCAGTTTTTCAGATCACTAAGTATTAACTGGTATGTCGAAAACAACGGAAACTAAGGTTGATTGGTGCAAGATTGGATTGTAAGACTTAAAGGAGCTATGTCACCACTTGTCGAGTTTGTTTTTTATGATCAATGAAATTGCCTTTGAATTGAAGGGAAGTTTACAAAGGTAGCGAAACATCAATGATAGAGTAATCTAAACAAGAACAAAGAGCATCAAACAGAGAGACACTGCAAGCTACAAACTTGGAAAATTAATGCCAATGTGTAATTTGATTTAAGACATAGCTCCTTTATGTTTTTGTGGTGCACCATTGCTGATCTTGTAGCATGAGATCAGGTCATTCAAAGAGCTCATGTGACCTCTCAAGAAATAAGTAGAATATTGAATAACCGACAATGTGTGTAAGTGATTGTCTCTCAGCAACAGATTTTGATTGTCTTTAGCTAGATAAAAACTACTGTTATAAAATAGTTTTTGTAGGAGAATTTTTGTATGTGTTGATGTTCTTCTTGGACTGGAGTGGTTTGAAAATCCGATGTTTCCAGTGTTTGTACAAGAAATAGTATGTGCTAATTATTGCTAGTTTCATCAAAATAATGATATATTTTCTTTGGAGTTTCAGACCTTTTCCAGGGCATAAAAGTTGTTTTCCTCAAGAATGGTGTAGAATTTGGGAGGTTTTGCACATAATGAACTAATGGCTTCACTTATGTGCAGCTCCAAATTTGATTGCTTGGTAAATTTTTAAAACGTTTGATTTGTGTATGTAATATGCAATGTAATAAAATGCTGTTGATTCAAAGGCTGTAATTCGTGAATGGAGATACTCTTTTCGGTTTGTCCAGTAAAGTAATAAAACTTGTTATTTTGAAACGTTGTGAAATCTGGTTTGTACTTACTTTTAAGACAATTCAAGCAAATCAGGGTTTCAATTTGTGGTGCATGTGGTTTTGTCATGATGGGGGATATAATTCATTGTAGGACATATTTTCTGCTGTTTGCTTGCAGTTGGCATTTATTTACTGCTGTTTGCTTGCGGTTACCATTTATTTACTGCTGTTTGCTTCCGGTAAACATTTATTTACTGCTGTTTGCTTGCGGGTAGCATTTACATACTGTGCTTGCAGTTAGCATTTATTTACTGCTGCTTGCTAGTGGTCAGCATTAATACACTGAATGCTTGCGGTTAGCATTTATAATACTGTTTGCTTGCGGTTAGCATTTAAGGGGTAAAGGGGAATTGTATGCCCACGATGGTTTGGTTTGAAATGATAAGACTGATTTTCTCGGGGCTGGAGACATCTGGATCTTTTTGGGGAGGGGGGCGGGGGTAGAGGCGGATGGGATCGGGAGGGGGTAGGAATTTTTTTTATTATTATTCTCTCTAGGTACTTGCAGGGGTTTCATTCCGTTTTCAGAAGGAGAGTAACTGGTTTAACAGGTGGGCGAAGCTTTCTCAACTGAACTTTATAAGAAAAAACGTTTAAAACTATCCCTACCGCGGCACCAATTTTGGTTACGCCAGGTGGGCAAAATCGTCCTTAGAGCCGGTCAGTTTGTCCGGTGCCCAGCCATTAATGAAATCCTTGACTTGTAAATTCTCCAAGGTCGTGGAAAAGTGAGGGGATGTTATTTAGAGTCAGGGAAAAGTGAACATTTTGAAGAGAAGTCAGGGAAAATTGAAATAATTTCACACGGTTGATTTATTATTTATACCATGGAAGTCTGAAGGAAACGTTTGGAGTCGCTGTGATGCCAACGATGTTTTGCCTTTACGAAACAAGAAAATTTGTTGAAAAGTGAGAAAGGACGGCTATAAGGGGAGTTAAGAAACAAGGGCGTAACCAGGGAGGACCTGGGGTGCCCTTGACCCCCCCCCCTTTTGTAAGCGTTTTTTAAGCAAACAACCCACAACAGGTGGCGAAAACGCCACGACGATCTGGTGAGTATCCTCACTTTGACACAGTGTAAACCCCCCCCCCCTTTTNTGGTGAGTATCCTCACTTTGACACAGTGTAAACCCCCCCCCCTTTTTTTTAAATCCTGGTTACGCCTCTGAGAAGCCACTATATCTGACATTTTGCATTTATTTGATCAGAAATTTTATTTTTACCAGCACGCAGCACGCAGGGGTTATTCGTGTGGGGACAATCCGCTGGTCGATGCAGGCCGTATCTTTAGACATTTGCTCCAGCTCTCGCATAACGCAGCGGATTTCTATAACGAACGCCAGAGCAGCAGGGGAGTCTCGGAGGAGAGATACTCGAGCCAACTTTCGGAAACTGGAGAAACTGTCACGACTTCTGAGATACCGAAACCGTTAAGTTGTGATATGGGACATTAGGTTAAGGGCCTGTTTACAAGGAGAGAGGGTTACCCTAGCAAGCGGGTTACCCTAGCACTCATACATTTCCTCTTTTTTTCTTCGTCGTGTTTACAAGGCAGCTAGGGTTACCCGGGTAGGCGGGTTACCCTATCTGCGTGCTAGGGTTACCCTGGCAGGCGGGTTAACTTTTTCCCTTGTAAACAGTCCAGAACAGTCCAGGAAGGGTTAACCTGTCTACCCGTGTTAACTTTCTAATTGTTTCCAGACCCTTTGAGAGTATGAAGACAAGCAATAGACTGCAAGGCTGATACTACGTGAAAAACGTTTCGAGACACCAACATGACA